TATCTATCTATCTATCTATCTATCTATCTATCTATCTATCTATCTATTTTCTTCGGTTAAATAATCTTTATAACCAGGAAGATTATACCAACAATAAATATAGGCACATTTTTCTAATTTATTTTCCGACTTGAGCAAATCATTGAGTCATCTCTCTCACGTCACTCTTACTCTCCCTCCAGGGGGTAAAGGAGCACAAGTGTCGCATCTGTGGTCGTGAGTTCACGCTGTTGGCTAACATGAAGCGCCACGTCCTCATCCACACCAACATACGAGCCTACCAGTGCCACATGTGCTTCAAGAGTTTTGTCCAGAAACAGACGCTCAAGGCTCACATGATCGTCCACTCAGACATCAAGCCTTATAAATGCAAGGTTGGTTGATTGTCGCTGTTAGGTGACAGTTTTTTGGGTTTCATTTCCTTTTGCCAGTTAAAGACTTAGTTCAACATTTTCTGAAATGCTTTGTCCTCACAAGAAAAAGGAAGTTATCACCTTGATAACTGTCAGTGGTCATAATTACTCATGTACGTCCCAATGCAAAGCAGGGAGTCAGGCGGCGTTCTAGTTTTTTTGGAGTAAGAAAATCTACAAAAGATGTTGATGATAAAACATTTAAGTTTTATTTTACAGGGCTGCTTAATTGACTTTTCCCTTTTATGCAACACCTATTTTCTTTTCAAACTCCTTCATCCTGTTTTTACCTTTCCCATCTGATAAAGTGCTCTAGAACTTTTTGCAGTTGGAGCATCAACATCCCTGGGATGCGTTTATTGGAAGGATGATGCAGTATCAACCAGCAATATTTAGTCCTCACTGAATTAGAGAATTTTTGCCAAATTTGCAGTGTTTGTTTTGACCTGAGTGTTTGGTGTGAGGACCGAGACGATGACCAGATAGCCGGGAGGCTTATGGGAGTGGGAGCCTCCTTGTCCATAGGAAGGATATCGCCGAACAAACCGCCTCTCTAACAATGGCCCCCCCAGCCTCCCCAGAGAACAGGGGCCGCAAATAGATTTCATCTCGCTTTCTCTGCTGCTGGAGGGAGCTTCCTGTTTTCTCACGGTCCTCTTGGACAGTTTACAGTCCCTCTCTCCTCCTGAAGGAAAGGACCACCCTAATAAAAAAGAATGCAGAGGAAGGACAGCGCAGGAGTTGCCCTTCCCTGTTCTCCTCCTGGCCCTGTCTCAGTGCTGCTTCCTCTCTTTTTCTGTCTCTAACGCTTTCTGTTTTTCTTGTGTGTGTGTGCAAGAGAATGAGAGAGAAGGGGGAAGACAGAGAGAAAGAGGAAAACTAGGATAGAGGGAGGAAAAAAGGGTGTGTGTTTGTGTGGATGTGAGTGCTCCCACATTCATTCATGATTACGTGTTGCTCTGCTGCTCTATTGTGAGGAAATGTAATCACCTAACAAAGAAGATATGTCAGAGAAAGAACAATAATGCACAGCTGAGGATAGCCTGTTGTTTTCTAATCCGATCAGTATTTACTGCAACAGCTCAAGACACCTATTAGCTGTCAGACTGAAATAAACTTTGATTCCCATTGCATTTTGCTCCTCTATCTAGACCATGTACAATAATCTTTCAGTTCAAGATTTTGCATTGAATAATTGGCTTCCAGATTCATTGCAATTTGGTGGATAAATTTACCCACAGATTTTAGAATATAATTGAATTAAAAAACAACAACTTTGATATTATTAAGGCTTCATTTTTACTGTGTCACCCCTCTGCTGCTGAGGACAAACTGTTGGTGAAAATATATGAAAAATATATAAATCTTATCTTTAATGAAAATGAAAAGTTAAGACAGAAGAAAATCTAAACTTAAACTTTTTTTTACAAAGCAGAATTCATTGCAACAGCAATGAATCATAACTAATCAACATCTATTTTAAACATTAAGAACAACACATGTAGAGGAGCCAAAAGGCTAATGTTAGGCATATGTAATATAGAAAGCAGGCCTTGCAGAGCACTGAGAATAACACAGCATTTACACAGGTACTTTATATATTGTGCAAGAAATGTTTGCTTTATGATAAAAACTTAACAGGCAAAGTATGTCTTGTGTTTCAGCTTTGTGGGAAGGAGTTCAACAGAATGCACAACCTGATGGGCCACATGCATCTCCACTCAGACAGCAAACCCTTCAAATGCCTCTACTGCCCGAGCAAATTCACCCTGAAGGGAAACCTTACCAGACACATGAAGGTTAAACATGGAGTCATGGACAGAGGCCTTGATGAAAGATGTAAGCCATCACACGTTATTGTTTTTTTTTGGCATCAAAAGTTGCCCGAAAAAAAACTAGTCATTTCTTTCATTTCAGTGTTTCGGCAAAGAGGGCAGTTCTGCCTGTCCACCCCGATGGGCCTCCTGTCCCACTTCAGCCAAGAGCAGCCGTTTGATCTCTCCCAAAAACCACCAGGCCTGCCCAACCTCCACCTCTCTCAGTCCGATGGTGAGAGCGTCCCGGGAAGCTCCTGTCAGGAGGAAGATGAGGAGAGTTTGTACAGAAGAAGCCAGTACAGCCCTGAGGTGGACCAACAGGAGCCGGCAGCAGAGGGTCAGTTCACACCAGAGCTGGAAGAAAGAGGAGAAACATGTCCAGATGAGCTCCGGCAAAACAGACAGAAAAAAAACTACCAGCGAGATTATCAAGATGAGACCTCTGAAGCGGAGATGGTAACAGGTGAACAATCCATTGATTCTGGAGGTGACCAGGTGAATCTCTTTCCATCAGAGACACCGTATGAATCTTATGCGGAGCTGGACGAGCAGGCTTACCGCCATGACACAGTCCACAGGCCGTCACGTGTCCATGATTTAGATTCAGAAGAGAAGCTAGATGAGCCAGAGCAAAGTAAACAGCAGTTGGATGCCCCCCTTGAGGCCGTTGATGTCTCAGATACAGACTAGAACAGGATGAAAATAGAGTGGTGCATCGCTTGCACAGGAGTAAATCTACGGGTCCCATATGATCACTGAGAAAAGCAATACATTTAGTAAGAAGATATAGGTTTGAGGGAATGTTGATTTTTTTCATGACAGTTAAAGAAAGAGGATGTTCAGGAGACTCTCACTTGCCGATCAAGAAAAGCAAAGTGAGAAATGTTTCTAAGCCAAATTATTTAGGGAAGATGAGCTATTGTAGCTTGCAGGGCCAAAAGAGCAGAACAGATTAGGATATCAGGACATAAACATGAAGTCACTCAAAGCTGTGAAGCATCCTGCATGTATGAAACATTATCGTGCACCGATACAAAAGTAGCAGACAGTTTATGTCAATTAATGAGAGGAAGTTAATGAAGTTTTTTTTGTAAATAAAAACAAATGTATTTAATGTTTTAGTTTTTTACAACGCTTTCTGCTATTTTGACTAATAATATGCATATTTTCTGTAACTGTGACTCTTATCAATGATGATAAAATCAAACATGTGTTTTCACTCAGATGATTGAGCATGCTATGAGGTTATTTTTGTTTGTTTATTCTTGAAATATTTTGTTGAAACATAATTATACTGGGAGTAATAATGTTATACAGACATGTGCATCAAAGCTTGACTGTATTCATAAAAATAAACTGTGATTGTATTCTTTTAAACCTAATGTTTGAATCAATTTAGATTTCTTGGATCATTCTTGAATCATTGTGGATGAGTTGATGTCAGAAATTTCCCTGTACGGAAGTGTAATAGTGCTGATCTGAATATGATTCTGTTGAATAAATCTAGAAATAAAAGCTTGAACATGTGCAGTCTGTGCCTTCTAAAATCCCTTGTGAGAATGTATATTTAAAAAAGTAAGACATGATGTTTTAATCACTCCATATTGACTCATGACTTTCAGAGCATGATGTGTTTCAAAAAGCCTGCTTCTGTGTCTCTGCTGCTCTTTCAAAGCAGAGGAAGAGGAAGAGAAAAAACCTCTCCCCTTCTGTCTTTTAGGATGTGATCAAACAACGGTGACGGACACAGTAGGTGTCCCAGACAAAAGCTCTGTACGTTTGTCTCTCACTAAAGCATTGTTCCTACTCACTGCAGAAGCCCTATTTGAAGGAATGTTTACCTTTTTTATGTTAGGTAGCGGATGATGATGAGCGGGACAACTCACAAAGAAATAGAAAAAAATTAAGTGCATCGTTCTCCGTCTTAACCCACAGTTTTCCCGTTAAACTTTATCGTGCCAGTTCAGGTAAAGAGTCATTTCTTGTTAGATGAAATGCAGAACAGCAGCTTCTCTTTTTCTACCAGCCACGACCACCGTGTCCCAAAGGGTGAAACTGCAAACAGTATGAGGAAGTTCTCACATCCTCCTCTTCTTTCCTTTCCTCACCTACACGTTTCAATCTTGGCCACTTTGTGTCGAGAAAAGCCACAGAGGGTGAATTGCTGCTGTTGAGAAGCAGCTCCTCACTGCAGCATCACACCGATTCCAGCTCGGAGATTTGACGAAGGTGGAGTTTTTTGTGAGGCGACGCTGTCTCTCTGGTGCATTTTTAATGAAGTGAAACTTAAAAGAGCCTGAGAATTCTAAGGTGTGGATGACACACAGGAGAACACAAAACATCTCTGACTGGAAAAGAAGCTTGCGGTAACAAACCGCTGAGGCCCAGGTTCGTGGAGAAAACTAAAGCACTCAGCACCCAGCTGACGAGACAAATGTTTCATATCTGAGCTGTGGAAACAATCAAAACCATATGTGTGTGCTTATTTTCATTAAAAGGACACTCAAAGGACAAAATCTGTAACAAATGTTGGTACTTTTAGGTGGTGTTGTATATGGCATTAGAAACAGTGGTAATTACATCATTTTGGGCATTTTGAACTCTTGAAAACGAGTTATAAGATAAGCATCATAGCTACCTTGTTTGCAGGGAAAGATATTCCTTTTTTATACTACATTTCTAGTTCCTAACTATTACTCTAAACAAATCAGTATGATCACAGGCTATTTGAAAGCAACCGTAGAATTTCAATTCAATTAATTCATTATAATGCAAAAGATGACAATGGCATTCCACAGCTGGGTGCATTTTTTGCACAATTATTCAATCAGCATGAATTCATGATAACAGCCGATAAAACATGAGACCTGAAAATTGTGGTTATTAATTTCTGTGGATCAACCAGCTTTATACCCCAATATTCGGACTGTTTGAGACCTTGGGTGTAGCACAAACACATTAACTTATTCAGAAATTTGGCTTAATGAGTTTGATCAATTGTTTACTTTTTAAAAATGTTTGTGCTCAAGTAATCCAAAATGTCTGTACAGACACAAATGATACTGGCTTTGTGTCACATGTCCTCAGCTACCTGCACCGCTTTCATGCAATACCATGGATTTAACAAAGCAGGAACTAGAGAGGGGTACTGAAAATAAATACTTCTTAAAATCTTTGCATCACTGGATCACAAACACAAAAGGTGCGAGACAAGACTGTAGAAGCAAAGTTTAAGTCGTTCTGTGAACTTTAAATGAGCAAAATGATGCAGATGGGTTGCAAAAAAATGTTCAAAATAGCACCAAAAATTTGACTTATTTCATTTTCATTTCAGCCAAAGGTGGCTGTGACTGTAAAAATATTTACTTCCTTTGAATTGTCCCTATTGTTCATCTCAGGTAAACGTTTCCCTTTTTTTTTTCAGTGCACAAAAATGAGATTGTGCTGAAATTCTTCCACGTTTTGTTTTGTGGGAAAAATCTCTCCCCGACTGGATTCAACCTGTTACCTCCTTTAACCCACACCCAAGCAGCTTACTGTAATAACGGCTGAGGGCTGTACCCCTGCATACTTTTGGAGAACAAAAAAATGAATGCTAAATCTAAATCAAAACTGCCCAGCTCTGTGTCTTTCTAGCCATATCGTGGTTTTTTAATGTACTTTCAAAATAGGTTACTGTTTCAAGAGTCTGTTTGCAATTTTTTACTCGACAAATTCAATGCCATTAGAAAGCTTCAGGAATGACTCTGGGTAACTAACAATGCCTCCTTTCAATGGCTTTGGAAATCATAGCAACGGAGCAATGTAAAGCCCTGTACTTATGCCATTTCCCTGGGATGTTTCTTCCTCATATAAAGAGTGCCCTCTACTGATCCTTTTTTAAATGTTAATGTGTGTATTTAAAAAAAAATGTTATGGGTTAATTTTGTCTTCATTGATAAAATGATAAAAAATTTGAAGATTATAGAAATTGATTTCCCTGCATGTTTAATGATCACCCAATTATGAATGGACATTAAAATCTTGTTAGCTGAAAAGAGTAGAATTTATATTTTTGTGCAGATGATCATCACTTATAATTTCATACTATAGAGGAAACAACAGTAAACCTTGTGTAAACTTGTGAAAGAAACATTTGTTCCGCTTTAATATCGTGGTAAATAAGAGGTATTTGTCACTATTGTTACTATTAAAATAAAACTGGATCACTCACAGTGGTGTACATTGTAGTAAATTGTTTATCCTACAACGAGCAGAAAATGTCCTTGAAGCAAACGAATAAGTTATTCGTAATAGGTTTGAATAGAATATTTTGTGCAACACATCTCTTGGAATTGATTTCATAATAGATTTTCATAATGACTGTTGGATTTATATGTATTCTAAAAATGCACTGTAGTTTATGTTGGGTGGAAAAAAAATAAAAAGAAATTCATTTTTAAAATCCCCCCCGTGTTTTGCCTCTGAAATGGTATCATCCAAGATGGCGGCCTCCGTGTTGAAACGATGTCTTACAGCAACTGTCAAAGTTAAAAGTTTATCCCCTTCTCTTACCGGTAAACACATTCTCCTAATGTCTGCACGATATATCTTGAATTATACGATTTCATTAGGCGATTTTCCTTTTCTTTTTGCCGCAGTGACAGTTAAAGCAGGAAAAACTAAATGTCCCCGGTGCTTTAGCTAACCACGTAATGCTTGCCTAACCTACCTTGCAGTTGTAAAGGTTAAAATAAACACTTTGACAAAACATATGATATTCAAATCTTCATGACCCGGTTGTATGTTTGTATCCACAGTCAAACGATGGTTGCTCTCGACAGCATACACAGATGCCAAAGTGTGGGAGGCGAGAGAGAGAGAGACTCAGAACCTGGGTAAGATATGCACTCTTCAGCCATCACCTCCTATGAATAACACGGCCAGAAATTACCAGGTACAGTTTAGTCTTAGATGGATGAGAATGAAAACGATATATCATCTGAATCAGGTGTGCTGGAGCTGGGACACTTGGACAACATGCATTTCCAGGGAAGTTTTAGCGAAGACCTAGGTGGCCTAGATCACTTAGATGGTTATCAAAATAGTGGCAAACGGACTATCAGACATGCAAATAATGAATTATTGACTAATTTAAGCCAAACTTTTAAAAAACATATTTTGCAGAAATCAAAAGCATCAGACAAAAATTGTATAATGTTGTAATATAGACTCAAAGAAAATACAAATACCGGTACCATCAATTTGTATAGGGGCTGTGCTTGGGGGAAAAAAAGATTTGCTAGTTTCCAAATGGAACCATTAAATTAATACATTCATTGGTTGGATTGTGAGGCACTTATGTTAGACTTCTGCTTTGCCATGTCAGATGTAAAAATGACAGATTTATGATTTTCCCGTTATTAATCTTATGTGTTCTAAAGGCTGTGGGGTGTATACTTTGCAGAGATGTTCCTAGATGTGTTCCTGCTTCAACGTAGCTGATTTCGATTTATTACATCTCTTCAAATCGCGAGTTCTTTACAAGTTTACAAATGTTGTATTCAATTGTGTCAGGTGTGTTGAAGTAGGGAAGCATCTTAAACCTGCAGGACAACAGCTCTCTAGGACCAGAGTGTGAGACCACTGGCATAATGCAACAAAACCAGATAAATTCTTGACTTCATCCCCTTTGGGACCAAGTAACATTCTAAAAAGGCTTAATTCAGCCTATTGAATAGTATATTTTTTAAAAATCTGTTGTGCATGATGTCCAACAACAAATTATTAGTATGAGTATAGTGTTGGCAGGCTTTGTAAACACGTATGTATCAAAGCACAGTCCTAATGTTCAGGGCCTCTGAAGGGCATGCGGCTCATACATGGAGGGCAAACATTCTCATGCTTGCAAGCAGCACTGTACTGGATTTTGCCAATGCAAGTGCACTCCTTCAACACAGGGTGGCACTGCAGTCTTGTAGTGTAAATATAACTGGCCTCTGTTCCAGAATTTGTGAATAATTTGTTTACATGTGTAAGTATCAGTGGTATAGAATGATCAGAAGTTTAAACATTCCCATTGGTTCACAGCTGGTTAAACATTTGATCAGAATCTCTCCTGCTGCTTTCGGCCTGGCAGCCTCAGTAGAGTTACATGACTGCTGAATACTTTGTGGATTGGTTATGACATTTAAAATTTTGTAATAATATTGTTGTGGTCTTTTTTTAAACCTACAGCTGTGCTGGCCAACCTCATGGACAGAACATATGACAGAAACCTCCCTGTCAGCTCTCTGACTATCTCACGGGTAAACTGCATCAACATTTAAATGGAGGAATTGTTCTCTTTTGTGTATTGCATAGTAATATGTATACATTTTTACCAACCGTGTTCTCTTTTTAGTTTGTCGACAACATCTCGTCTAGAGAAGAAGTTGATCAAGCAGAGTACTACCTTTATAAGTACGTGGAGCAATTTTTCTCCTTCGTTACTTTCCTTTCTGTGCTGAATATCTGCTGCTTATGTGGGTATTTTGTCTTGTTTTTTTGTACCAGCTTATGTGTTTTTCTTGGAATGAATTGTCTGTTTGGCTCGTCTGTTTTGGTTTATGTTCAGTCACATGACTGTCTTTGTTCGGTGCAACTCCAGACCTTTCCTGTTTACTCCTTCCTCTGGAATCTGCACCCATTATTGTGATTACTAGATTTAGTATGTTTCCCAATCGCACCTTTGTTCAGGAAACATTTTCATAATCAAGTTTTGGAGGTTTGTTAGTCATTTTTGAGATCCAACTTTTTTTTGGTTTGTCTTTTTTTAAGCTTGCTCTTTGCTGAGCCTTAGCAGCTAACATTACGTACCCTGAATCTTCAAATGTTGTGTCCTTTTTTCCTCACATCCGTCCTATTTTTAGTGTTTGGCCTTAGTTGCACGGCTTTGATGGAATGACCATAACAAGAAGATATTTTTGTCTTTTCATTTTTCAAGGTTTCGTCACAGTCCCAACTGTTGGTACTTGCGAGACTGGACCATTCACAGCTGGATCCATCAGTGTCTGAAATACGGGGCCAGAGATAAGGCCCTGCACACGCTTAAAAACAAGGTACACAGTATCCTCCGGTTGGTGCACAAAGAGGGTAGAGGTTGGTCTCAGAGATGACTGGCTGAGTGGAGAGGCCGCTCGTGCTTATGATCAAAGGGGAAACTTGATCAGAGTCTGCTGATCACTCTGCCAGCTGCTTGTCAGTGTGAGACGATACAGATCCAATCTTTACCCTCCCGATTTGTGTTCAGCCTGATTTGAGCAGCGCAATTAATGTCAAGCATGGTTCAGCCCAGCGTACGCACTGTGCAGTAATCAGTTGTATAACAGAATTATTCCAAAAACAAAGACGTCAGCCCACCAGTGCTCTCTGTCATTCCGGGTGTCTTTGTTGTTTTGATTGCGGAGGCGTTTCTGAGCCATGACAAGTCTCGACGTCAGACGTGCATAAAAAAGTTATTTGTTGAACGTTTTACACCATTCTCATCTGTCTTGCGTTGACGTTTGTTATTGCATATTACTACAGCGATAATGAATCTGATACAACCGTTTGAAATATGTGTGTAGGTCCAATATGGAGTTTTCCCAGACGACTTCACCTTCAACCTGTTGTTAGATTCTTTCATTAAGGATGGAGACTTTAAAAGTAAGTAACTTTTTAAAAGTCAAATGTTGGGTGAAAATGAGACCGACAGACCAAAATACAGACCAGACCCTGTCAGGTTGTTTTTTCATGCTGACTGTAAATACAACCGGAGGACAGCCTGCTAATCACACAAATCAGCTTTCAGACCTTTCTTTGCTTGTTTTGAAGAAACGGGGCTAAAGGGGAAGCCTGATTATTTTATGCCTTTGATAACAGCAGACAGTCAACAATACATCATTGTGGAGAATTGGTCTAGCTTTTGTTTGTCCCGCTTTTGGTTTGATTTGTTAAAGTTTGTATTTCTCATAACTCTACATCTACAAAAAATCTGATGTTTTTAAAAACCTCTGCTATGTTTTTGCAAAAAAGCTGGGAACTCAGATTTGTCTGTGAATTTATGAGCCCCATATAGAATAACACCCTCCATTTCCATTTATTTTATACATGTATTATTCTAAATCTGAATGTTTTTAGTTAATCAACAACAAAAAAGAAGATCTCCTTCTATAAAATTATTTGAATGATATTATTTCACAGGTGCGTGTTCTGTGGTTGAGGAGGTGATGCTTCAGGAGGCCTTCAACCTTCAGTCCACACAGATCTTGTCTCTTTATGCTTTGGGCAATTTCTTAGGAACAAGACCACAGCTCACTGTGAGTGATGATAAATAATCACAGGATACCTTTCTGTGTCTTTATCTTTGACAATATTATGATAAATGTATTTTTGGATGCCCGAGAGTTCCCGACACTGTTCCTGCCTTTGCTCAGGTGTCTGAGGAGCGAGCTTTGGGAGCGTCGCTGCTCCTCTGTGGGCTGCAGCAGGACAACACTGTCGGCCACAGCGCTCAGCTGCTGGGCAATGCCCTGCTCGGTGTGTATGGGAGTCTTTTCTCCACTGTCTGGAGTTTCTCATAGGATCTGAGACTGATTAATTTTGCTCGCCTTCATTAGTCCCTTGTCTCATTTATCCTCCTCCTTCCTCGTCGTCCAGTTAAGGTGGAGATTTTAAAGGGCATACATGTCGTGTTCAAAGGCATGCCTCTCTCCTGGGTTCGAGGGTATCTCGACCGAGCACTGGCTGTCATGGAGAGAGTTGCTGCTTCCTCCGGTGATATCAAGTTGTCCAAAGACACAGTAAGAACACACACTTTCACAGGCTATTTCATTCTGTGTGTGTGGTTGTGTTATTGACATTGAACTGATCACAGCGTGTGTGTGACTTGCTTGTTTGGTTGCATATTGACTCAGTTCTGTTTTGAGGCCAACACTGGCCTTATTAACTGAGGTCTTAATCAGAGCGAGTGGGCGCATTTACATCACACATGGGAAGAAAACGACACACAACAACTAGTTATTGCTGTAGTTAATCTCAAAAGGAAAATTTTAAATAGCTAAATAGTATGGATCAGATGGATGGATTTTTGTCAAGAAAAAGCAAACCTTACACATACAAAGTCCTCCAGAGAGTCTCTGGTTTATTGGTTTATTAGTGAGAAGGGCCAAGACTGAGATTTACGTAACCAATCTTCCTCACTTTGAGATGCGACTGCTCATTTTCTTGGTAACAGCTCTTTCAAGACAAATGTATTGATTTTGATTAACTTAACCCAATCTGAAGTGACAGGGGCTAGATATTGATTACAGAAAAGCGTTTTAAAGGCAGCGTGGAAACAAACAGAGCACTGCAACATACAACACAATATAAGAAAAGAAATGAAAATAAGAAGCACACAAACATCACAGCGGCACTCATCTCACAGTCAGACAAACACGTGTGCCCAAATGTGCTGTGAATTCAGGACAAAAACGCAGCCGCGGCAAAACTTCCCTGTCCTCACCTGCTGGTAGCAGCAGCTCTAATCCAACCCGTGCCGTCCAGTTCAGTAGTTCAGCTTTGCCTAAATCTAATGAGATTTTCGAAGAGCCTCGGGCGCCCAGGGTGTCTGAGATAGTCACTGGAACAGGAACCGGGCAGCCGGTGTCAGGCAGCGGCGTGGAGATAATGTAGACAGAGAGGATAACACAGTAGGACAGAGAGGATGTATTACATCTCAGCTGCTGGTGGCCACTGCCTCAGGTCACAGTCAATCATCTTCCGCCAAGATTAAGAGGTGAGTTGCCAATTAATGTGTGGAGGCTCTTGCGTCACTACACGCCTGCCCTGTGCTCAGACATGTCCGATGCAATAACAGCCGTTTCAGTACATGATGAACGACACTAAGTAAAGCTAAAAACCTCAACATCGATTTGAATTTTTTTTCCCAGCTGGACTCAGTGAACGTCCTGCTGCAGGAACTGTCCTCGGCCTCAGCCACAGAGTCCTCTGAAGAGGAGTCGGGGGCAGAAGAGAGCAAGGCCCACAGCGTAGATGAAGAGGATGAGGCCGAGCGGGCTAAACTCCCTCTGTATGTCAGCAGATTCCAGGTGAGTGTTTGTTGTGTGTGGCAGCCGTGCTGCTGTTTGCCATCGTGGTTAAATTTACATCAGCGTTCCTCGTCCGGGCCAAGCCAGCAAACATTGTTTCCTGTTATGTCTGGTTTTGATTTTTGAGTCAAATTGGGGGGAGCTGCTGACTATTTGTTCATCATTTAAAATATACCAGTAACTGAAAAAGTACTTAGTTCTGATCATGCTCGATCCTCCCATCTAAATAAGCGTAATATTTTAATGCTTTTTTGCTATTGACTTATTTAACTTGGACTTAACTAGATCATTTCCATGCCAAAAAACAAAACAAAACAAAGCAGATTTCATCTGTTTTTTTGTTTCTGACCATTGATTGACAAAAGTCTCCGTCACAGAACTAGCATTGCATGAACAGTGTTTGTTTACATTTAGTGTTACTCAACAAGATACACACTGCACACTGAATGTGCTGTCCACATGTTTCAGTCCACATTCTTTTTCTTTCCTGCTTTTGTTGGTGCATCAGAGTTTTTGACATGCGACCGCCACTTGCAGATCAGCCACATGGTGTGAAACACAGTTGGAATTTGGATTTGATCCACTTTTTGGAAGATTGTTCACGTGCTTCCTTGTGCTTCCCTAAAGGGAACAAAGAAATCAGAGGCCCAATCGTGGTAACATTTTTCGTAGCTGTAATAGTAGATAAAAACTCTCACAATTATGGACAGGACAAAGACGTTTGAATACAAATGGCATGCTTTAAAACTTTTTTGTTCAGTGTTTGCATGGATGAAACAAATGGGTGTAAAATGTTTTTGAATCCTGCAAACCATGTTGACATCAGGCTCAATTGACCCTTCAATTTTCAAGTTGACCAAGTCCAGGAAACATTCTTCGTGTTTGATTGAATGTTTCAAGACCATTTTTATAGCTGTTTTATTAATCTTTCCACATGAAACCCCCAAAATATATGGGATATAATCACCTCCTGCCCAGCAGATTAACAGATCAAGAGCAGGCTGGCACACCAATATCTTTATTGTGGTTTTTAAGCCCAAATACTAAGACATCTCTGTTTAGTTCCCTCAACATCCTGTTATTTCTCCGCCTCTCTAGGAGCTGAGCAGCCAGCTGGAGTCTCACGGTAAAGTGGAGCCCACCTCCTTCCAGGCTTTGGTGACCACTCTGGCCCAGCAGAACCTCGCTGCAGCAGAGAAACCAGACCTGGAGCAGTACGACAGCCGAGTGCGGGCCTGGGAGGCCGAGAAGAGGCAGCTCGTCCGGAGAGAGAAGGAGATGAGAGAGCAGGCCGAGCAGGAGAGGCAGGAGCGATTAGCTCTCAAGGCTGCGGCTCAGCAGACGTAATGCGCAGACCGAGCTGCTCCAGCGTCACTGAACAGTCACCGCCATCGCACGCAAACACGTTACCCTGTTCCGTTTGTATATATCACTTACTGTGTGCTTAGGGGCTCCCATGATGCAAAATAAAAATGGATTTGTATCAGTAATTCAGCCTCACGCTCTGTTATGACCCGATAGCGAGCATACAGATATGACGACTGTGCCAAAGGCCCTGCCGTCACCCCAGCCCCCTCCTCCTTTTCTTCCTCGCCTTCAGCCGTCTTTGTTGTGCGTTTATGTGTTTTCGGCGTGTGTCTAAAGCGTCGTTGAAAATATTTCTCACAGGGGGAGAATAAAAAGGGGTGTTTGCGCAGAAGAATTTGTTGATAAAATCCGCAGAAAACCACATTCTCCTCTCGGAAAGGAATGCAGTTATGAGCAGGAACCATTCCTTTTCACAAAGGAAGGCATAAGCCATCCCATATAGATCCTGATCACTATGGCAAAAACTCCACCTTCTATGTTTTTGTCTAATTTTTAGTAAGTGAATGTCTCAAAAGGAGAATGCTCCATCAGCTAATACAAACAGTATGTTCTAACTAGGGAGCTCGGTTGTTTGGACTCTGCTGAGAGATAAGATTGGAGATCTTTGGAGAAGAAAATGCTCTTGTGGTGGCACATATAGTGCATTCATTCCACATTACGTTGCCTCTATTCAGTATTCAGAGCATGATCTTGGGAAACAGCTTGGTATGCAGTCCAAGTTGAATGAGCAACACAAAACGCTGAAACCAGCCATTGTGATTTGCTGGTTCCCTCACCGGCTATCAGAGAGCAGCTTTGCATGTTTTTGTGATTATTTAAAACTTGTTTATTATCTAAAACTGAGGGCCTGAAAGCGTTGCATCTCATTCTAAGACTGATGGAAACAGTGGTCAACTTAACAGTTTCAGCTGTGGAGCTGCTTATTCTGCCACTGCCCGGGGCCTTGAAATTCAGGGAACATTTATTCATGGTTCCATTAATAGAAGCTAAGCCAAGTGTTTGTTTATTCAGGGGAGACCGTCCTTCCTAAATATCCAAGCCCCCTAACAGTCACAGTTGCCATATATATGCGATCAGAACAGCTGTGTCAGGTAACAATAGCTGCACTCAATGTCATACAGCCTGCATACGCTAACTCTTTCCTTCTAATTCAAGTTTTAGTTGTTTTTTCCAAAGTTGGCTGGCAATGATCACTTATAGAATAGGAAAATTGTTCCACGAAAAAAAGAAATCAACTTTATAATCTGTAAATTTGTAGATTTAGGGAGACGACATTATAAATTAACAAAAAAAAAAACATTGACTATTTTCTCTGTAACAAACAGGTTTCTGTGGCAACAGGACTCACTAGGCTCTGGCAGCACACTGCAATTCTTAGATGGGCTGCATCACAAAAGACAAAATATGGATCCTTATTGAAGACCTGTATCTCCTGTCAAGATTGTCAAAAAACTAAAATCTGACACGCAGTTCAGATTTAAATTGGAAACTTTGAAGAAGGTTTTATGTGCTGCATAGGTTACCATGGCGATCCAGTCTGAAAGAGATCAACTTCATATGATTTCATGTATCATATCTGCTCAGGCTCAGCACAGCTTGCTAACATATTAAACCCAGTTTTCTAGAATGGCCCTCAGTTTGCTGCATCTTATAGTTTTTACGTGGTGACTCAAGAGAATTATAAATAATTAACAGTGTTATTTTCAACAGCAACTTAGTGAGGTTGCCGTTTCTATTGAAATTCTATTATTGGTTATGGAGGAAAAACATACACATAAAAATACACACAAGTCGCTGAATCAAAGCCAATCTGCAGTCTAATATTGGTTAGTGGGCATTCTCTGTTGGCCACTCAGGACAGCTGTTATTTCAGCGGAGGTGTGAACGTTTGATTTTGCTGCGGGTGCCTGTTAACATAGTTGATAAATGCAGCCAAGTGAGATATCAGGAAGTTTGATATTCACGTCAGTGATCCCCGGAGCCTTTTAAGTGTTTTAAACCGTCCCTGTGTGTTTTCATGCAGGCGATGAGGATGTTGATTGAGATGAGTATATATAACAAAACCTCACAGAGAGAATAGTGTGCATTAGACCTGGTGGGTTTGGATACGAAACACCTGTTACTGTACAAACCTTTTATCTCTCTACCAGGAAAGCTTGTAGGTGGAATCAACTCATCGGGTGGGAAAAGTTAGGAAGAAGTCAGCAGATCTCCATTTAATCTTTTAGCTTAGGTTCATTCTGTCTCTGAACATTGTGTTCATCTCTTTTTCCTGCTCACTGATTTTTTTAAATCACATTGCAGTTTTTTATCTAAAATTTCAGCACTTTCCCCATGTAAATATAAACTGTGTTCTGATCTTTGAACAACAGGATTCAGGTCCCATTTTTGATGAATCAATAAAAAGAATAGTGTAAACACATGCTTCATCCTGCTCTTTGGAGCAGATGACCTAAGACGTCTGACCACAGAGTCTCCATAGAAACATGCTTATTAATCTTTCATTATTCATCAAGGTCAGTTGCTTCAAATTTAACATTTTAAGGAGACAAGTGAAAACAAATATTGTTTAATTTATCCATCTGATTGTTGAGAGGCTATGCATGCCTTTTATGTGTTCTGACACTCATATATTGTTAATGTATTAAACAAATGAATTAGTGAAATGCAAAGTGGGAATTATAAAGTGGATTTATGGGCTGTCTGATCAGATCTGATGGGGGGGGTTATTCTGTTTTCATCAGCTAACGTGTGACCTTTAAAATGAGGTTCAAATGTGTTTTCTCTCACTAAAAGCGATGCCCTCGAGGACTTCATGCTTTTTCAATTATTTTCAAACTTTTTCAATTTACTTTTTGAATTGCCAACTGTAATTTGGCTAGATATGTTTTTAAATGTAATGTTATGGCCTTAAGCAAATTAGTAATCAAAACAATGCTCGCAGCCAATTACTTTGGATTGGGACTCAAAGTAAGATTGAGTTTGTGTTGCATTTGTTTGTAGTCCAAGCGTGTCCAGTCTCAGACGTCTCAAGATAAATGCACTTACGTTGAAAAAGTCAGCACCATTCACACACTGATTTCCCGTACCGCGTGTTCCTAGTAAAGGGGCTGGAGCCTAACCCAGCGGATGTTGGGTGAGAGGCGGGGTACCTGGAGGGAACCCAGACAGACACGAGGAGACCACGCAAACTCCACACACACCACCATCCCTCCTAAGTCTGCAACACAGAAAAGCATACACATAAACAATGGAATATTACAAACTCTAAATAAATAGTTGTTATGAACAAAAATTAAGTTTAGTCCCCCCAAAATGTCTGTCTAGCTTTTCGAGTGCTAGACCATAATCTAGATACATACACATCCAATTTCCATAAAGCTTCATAGAGGTCTTTTAATCTTAAATCCACTCATGAGCTGATGCCACTAAAGCCAATTTTTGCTTGGAATAACACTTTGATTTGATACAGTTTCATTTATTCCTGATGTTTCCCACTAATGCAATGGTTTGTGGGAAGCACTGGCTTTCCTGGAAATTTGAGTCCCACTCCTGTTTATAAAAGGTAAACAGCATGAGTCCCCATGAGTAACTCCAAAACATCTGAATGTCTGATTACATCATCAGCCAGAGGAAACAACCGGAACTTGAGCAAATCTAAGGGGGTGACATGTATATTGCCACAGATTTAATTTGATCTGATGGCCAAAATTCAGGAATGATAAAGAATTGTGAAAAGTTATTCTTGTTTTTTACATTTCAGGACTTGTTTCTTTAAATCCTGAAACATATAGAGGCTTTTTACATAGTAAATGTAAGCAAGTAAAAATAAGCAGCAATTGTTATACATTATTTTGTGATGGTTAGTTTGAAGGCATGTTCATCAGTCTTCTAAAATTATTGAAACACCATGTTCTTGGACAACCTCCAATCTCATTCTTTGATTACAGCAAGTTGTGGGCATGAATATCAGACTTTATTTAACTGCATGCACATTGGAGGAAGTAAACCCTTGCCCACCGATAAAGTGCAAACATTTAACAGTTTTCCCTTACACTCACATCCACATTAATGTTAAACCCTTCCATGCTGTTTCCCATCGTGTTAATGAGTAACTATGGTCATTTGGTTATCTAATGATTGGCAGTTTGTACCTTGTTTCTTTCTCGGTTAATGATTACAACCATAATGCAGACAACCAACAGGACTATTCCGTTCTGTGTCCTGGAAGATACCAACTTTTGACGTTTTATGGTGGGAGGGGCTTTGGATGGGTGGGATTTTGAACTGAAAAAAGAAGAAGCTATCTACAGTTAGGAACGTATGTGGGTCATGTGACTTTGTCCCAATATTCTACAACTCCCTCATAATTTGTACCAAAATCCAAGATGGCTGACTTCAGCAACCGAGACACTGCAATACTTTTTTTTTGCTGAAGTCTGTGTTCTGTATTGTGATTATATATATATCATATATGTATATATACATGTCTATACCATACATATGTGTACGCTCATATGTATGTACATAAGCATTAAGAGATTTAAGGGTTTCAAGATTGTTTCTAGTGTTAAAAAATCTTTTAGATTAAATCATGAATATAATAGTATATATACAAGACAGCAAATTGCAGTTTTTCTTTCTTTTTTTGTGGAATACAGATTTTTTTAAGTCGAATTACATTAGTAAAGATATGTATTTAGCTGACAGATAATTAAAAAAACATATTGATAATTTTCTAGGTGGCTATTTTCTTCAGGTAGATGCAGGTAAATGTTTGACACCTTCATTTAGAGGACACATTTTTTTTAGAGGCCACTCATACATTGGGAAATGTATGAGTGGCAGACTGTTTCTATTTCTTTTGTGGGCAAATCAGTGCCAGTTCAAACAGTTTACATCTGATCCGCTGCACTGTGGCTTTGTTATGCTGAGAAGGAGCGCACACGGATGTTATCTATAAATCTTCCAGGGCCCAAAATAAACACGTCCCAAGTCTTTCTAAACTTTACATTTAAAAACAAGCTTCAAACCGGTCCACCTGTGCTCTTTCTCAGAGATGCGGGGAATAATTAGTCTGACTTTAAGTTTCTGTAAACTGCTCTGCCTCGCAGTGTGAGTATAACAGATTTGTTGATGTTTTGGCAAAAAGAAAAGAAAAGAAACATCCTCAAATTCAGTCAGTATGATCACATGAACTACAGCCAAACAAAGTGACCAATAGCTCTAGGACTGAAGGTCATGGAACGTCTCTCCAGGTCAGGGAAAGAGCTCTGGCAAAAACGTGGTTATTTGGAGCAACAAAGAACAATAATAGAAAGCCCACAAATCAGCACTGGGTTGGCTGAGAACTGTTTTGATAACAAAGTTTGTCTTCTTAAGATATAGTGACCACTAAATTGAAATGCTACAACACATTATTTAATTAGTTCTGGTAGTTCAGTGGTCAGTTATTTTCTGTGAATTCCCACTTAATTAACTCTCATGATTCTCCGAACACTTTTCAGCTATTTCTTTTGACCTCAATCAGTATATAACACTTGTGTTATGTAACTTGGGAATATTTTTCATTTCTTTATTTTTTGTGTATTTACCCAGAGATTTGTCACATTTGGGCCAAAGCTCATCTACTTTTAGAAGTAATGGTCAGTTTACCCCACTGGCAAATGTTCATTTGTGCTGTCATGGCTGGAGATTACTTTGACAACTGTCACAGACCGTGCAAAGTCTGTGCAAATAGTTATAGGTAAAGACATTTTCTCACAGGTTAATTAAAAACATGTGTATAGAATGTATACTCAGAGAGCTTTGTAAATTTTCCTCTCTACGCTTGCATAAAAAATGGAAATATGTCAAATTAATAGAGAATGCCTGTGATCTCACACACTCTAGATGCCACACATTCTGTCTATTTAGGATGCAAAGCGTTGTGTCCTGTGCTTGCTGCACACTGACTGCCTTTCCAATCCCGCGATCATCTGTAGGCTCTGGGACAAAGTGAGAAAAGGGGAGAGGAAATATTGGACTCATCAAAATCGAGCATATTATGCTCAGAGAGCCTCACCACTCCTCCACTAATGCAGAAGTGGTCAAACTGAATTTCTAAACTGGAAAAACCGTCTATGCCACTTAAATGCTCCAGCTCTCCGATAAATGGGACTCGTGTGTGGGTGCATAAACGAATCCTCTCTGCCCCCGTCCAGCAGAATAAAGCTTTGAATGGACCTGTTTGACTCTTTGACTCACCCACAGGAGACCACATGTACAGTATGTGCACCTGTCCACCACACATTACTCTACATGTAAATGTGTGTAGATTATTCTCTTTTTTTTTTCCTTTAAGCAAATAAAGTTGTAGAAAAGTTCAAGTATAAGCTGTGCTTCGACTAGATGCAAAATAAGATAAAGTTCACCAACCACCTGTAACTGTATTGTAATGTCTGACCACCAGAACAGAACATTTCCACAGTGAAATATGGTCATTGTTTGGCAGAAAAGATTAGATACATTTTAAAAACAAATTGTCCATTTGGAAGGTGGTTTGTTCTGTGCTTTCTTCAACCACAAAGGTTTCAAAACAAATGCGGTGGGAGAAAGTACAATAGCATATCCACAATAAGTTTGCTCGGTTTGTAACAACATACACATTCCTGCAACAGTGATTGATGCAGAGCCGCTATGCTGCAGGTTTTTTTGACTACAGAAAACAAATCCAGGAAAGCCACATTCATATGAAGCTTAATCTCTAAAATCTTCTTACCACACATTCTGTAAGATCTGTGACTTACCATGAAAGAACCAAAACAAGCAGAAGGCAGAAGTCCCATTTTGTAGAGTATCTATGAACAGTGTTACATAACATCTGTGTTTTTCACAGCCAGACATGCAAAGGCCAGTTAAATTATATGCAATTAACCCTCGATGGCATGCCTTGAGATGAATTCTGTTTCAAGGCTGTGAAATGCCGGGGACAGCTCATTGTTCCCTTCTTTGTGTCAACGCCTGAAAGTAGCAACAAAGTAGTGAGAAAAGTAGTGAGCAGGATCAGTCTAATGCGATAACCTATAAAAGGTTCATTGAACATTTCTACATTCAAAAGGGGATCAAACTTTTTTTTTATTCAAGCAAAAAAAGACAGATTTGCAGACATTGTGTTTCTTTGTTCTATAATGGCCTGAGTTTTAACATATATCATGGATAAAAAAGAAGAAAGAATCTTGATCACAAATGTATTAAAATTTAAGATTATTCTTTGGATATCACTTTGTTTAAAACTTTTTTCTTTTGGTATCATAACTGGTAAGTGTGTGAATAATGTTTCTATTTCCAATTTTTGTATAAGTTTAATGTTCCAGATTTCCCCAGACTGATATAAACCTTTACAATCACCTTTTCCCCTTGTTGGAAAATATGATGAGAAATTTGTGAAGGAATGGTGATTTTGACAACAATGCAACCACACCTACACAGAACTCTGATATGGATCTGTTTGAATGGGGATCAGCAGGATAAGTACAAGAAATAAGGCTACTTTGATACCTCTAATACTGTAATTTCTTGATTTTTAAATGTTCTCTTTTTTATTTGTTTGGATGTTGATGTTTTTTCTTTTTTTTTAAAGATTCTTAATTGTGCTTGGGTTAGGCTGAATATGCCAAAGGCCTCCCCTGGAGCACACAGAGCAGCTTATGAGGGCTGTGTGATGAAATGAAGGGGAGGGACCGGACCTTTCAGAGGGCTCATTTCGATTAACTCACTGGTGTCTGCTGCCTGCCTTCATATCTGTGCCCTGGTTAGTCAGACCAGCCTCTGTTTTCCCAGATAGCTGAGGATCAGATAAGAGCACCGCGGCAGCAGTGAGAGGATGCTCTGGAGGGGGCTGAAAGTTCATCAGACGTAAGTTTGGGTGAAGGCGTCATCTGGCTCTGTGTTGCTCACATGAACATCAACATGTACAGGCTTCTTTCAAGTCAAAGTCAGTTTCCTGCTCTGGACTGGAAATAGAGGACATTTCTCACTCATCCTGCGCTACGTTTGGACACAACCATGAATAATCAGTCGATGACAGGGAGAGCCATGGTCCCCACCATCCCGTCTATCATGTTCATATTCGGGGTGGTGGGAAATGTCATCGCGATCGTGGTTCTTTGTAAATCTCGCAGGGAACAGAAAGAGACCACGTTTTACACTCTCGTGTGCGGACTGGCGGTCACGGACCTGCTGGGCACCCTGCTGGCCAGTCCGGTGACCATAGCCACTTACGTGAAGGGGTCGTGGCCCGGAGGAGAGCCGCTTTGCCAGTACTTCGGATTCACCATGCTCTTCTTCTCCCTGTCCGGGCTCAGTATCATCTGTGCCATGTCAGTGGAGAGGTACATCGCTATAAATCATGCCTACTTTTACAATGACTATGTGGACCAAAAACTGGCCGGGCTGACTCTGTTAGCCATCTACATCTCCAACGCGCTTTTCTGCGCTCTGCCGATTGTTGGTTTTGGACAAGTGAGGAAACAGTACCCCCAGACTTGGTGCTTTTTAGAATGGAGGAGCAACAGGACCAGCGATGCCGCCTACTCCTACATGTATGCGGGGTTCAGCTCTCTTCTCACCCTCGCCACAGTCATCTGTAACGTCCTGGTGTGCGTGGCTTTGATTCGGATGCATCGGCGATTCGTGCGCAGGATGTCTCTGGGAACTGATGTGGGGCGCAACGTGGACCCGCGGAGGAGAGGACGCAGCTTTGGCCGTCTGGCCGGTGCGGAAATCCAGATGGTCATTCTGCTTATAGGCACATCGGTAGTGGTGCTCATCTGCTCCATCCCTCTTGTTGTAAGTTCTCTCTTTTATCCGGCTTACGCACGTTTTACGCACACGTATTTGTGAGGTATTTATTCAGAAATAGTCAAGTAAAGCTATTTTTAAAAACGTATTTGTAATTTATTACATTTGTTTAAGTGATAGAAAAGTTCTAAAGAATCAAGTTTGTGCTATATGACGTTCGTTCGCAATTTCAATAGTGCCATAGTTTCCGCCCCTTGGTTCTTAAAGAGAAAAGTTTTTGTAAAATTCCCGCCGATTGATCCACATATGAGTGACAGATTCGAGAATATCTACATAAGTGTACATAGTCAATGTGAATTCATATTCATTCGTCATTCAGTGCGTAAAGTATCCACATCCAAAGCTGCTGCGCACGTGCTGACGAAGCAACTTGTGTGTTTTGCCATTGCAGGCTCAGGTCTTTCTGAACCAGCTTTATAAAACTCCAGTAGAGCGCCGGCTGGACAAAAACCCTGATCTACGAGCCATACGATTTGCGTCCTTTAACCCTATTCTTGACCCCTGGATTTACATCCTGCTTCGCAAGGCCGTTCTCCTCAAGCTGGTGGAGAAAATCAAGTGCCTGTTTTGCAAAATGGGAGCAAGGACACGACAGAACCAGGGAAGCTGCCACTGTATGGACGCTCATCAGCTCTCCTCGTTCACGTCCAACCGGGATTCCAACTCTCTGGTGTCCCGTGATGCCAGGAGCACTTCTCAGACTGTCCTTCATCTTCTGGAGAGAAGTGAGGTACACAGCGGAAGGTGTCACGGTGCAGACAAACTCTCTGATTCACAGCCTTCTTCAGTCAGAAACTCGCAAGCCTCCTGTTCCTCTGAGAAGGACATCACAGGGGCTCAGACTCTAAACGGGGCTGCGATCATTACAGATTTCTCGGCCCTGCCAGGCCCAAAAGACACGGCGCTCCAGGTGACTCTAAACACAGAGACAGTAGAGGAAAAATGCATCTGAATCATCATCTCTGAATCATGGGAGCGTTGTCATGTCACTTTTAGGCAGAATGCCTTTCTACTCCTCCATGACAGAACATTTTCACTTTCCAAAAGAGGGAATTAATTGTGGTCTTATCATGAAGTCAGCTACATGAGGATAAAACACTGTTATAATGAGCACTCAGCTACCTCAGAGATGAAAAATGCTTGAGCAGATTCTGTCATTTTCTTCAAGACAGATGTTTCACGGCGATCACAGAAGGGAACCCTCACCCTTCCTAACTTAATCTGTGTCCAGTCAATGTGGAAACTTTAGCTATGACGGTGATGTGGCCATTTATTTACAAGATTATGGTCAATACTGGACACACCACAGACAGTGTATCGACATCTGGATTGTGGTCAGTACGGTCAATAAAAATAGCGCTGGGTGTGATTCTGATGTCACCTGTGTGAATGTGTGTATTTCAACTAAGGGTACAATTGTTTCTGTGCCATTTTAATTTCAGTATCCTCCAGTTTTTGTAAATATGAGATTACTAAAAGTGGTGTGCTTTGGCAGATATGAACTCAGTGGAGTATTAAGCTGTCAGCTACTGTAGAATGGAGTGCTCAATGAACAATATTTCATAGTATGTTTGTGTTACAAAGTGACCGTTTTTCATAAGAAAACTCAGCACGGTTGTCATTCCAACTGAAGCACTGTAAAAACAAATTAAGCAGGATTCATATTTAGATCATTTTTCAATCCAGGACTTCATCTAATCTACAATCAAAATAATAGTGACAGAAATTAAACAAAACTTAAAAAATTACACTGAAAGTATCATTGGTACGTCCATTCATCTTATATAAATTTGTTAACCTCAAACATAGACACTTGAAAATTATTTAAAACTAATTTAAAAAATCAAGCAGATCTCAAATGGAACAACTTTTTTTCAAAAAGTGTTTGAAAACCAAGAATGTGTATTTTCAGATGGAGCATCTTTTAGACAAAACAACCCACACTTAAGGTTTCCATCTCAGTAACCTCAGAGGAGTTTAAGTGATCCCTGTTGTTTAATTTTCCCCAAAGGCAGAATTCCCCCTTTAACGCACTCTTATGTAAGGCAACACCCTCTGCTGCCATCCTACCATTACAGTGTGTAACACAGTGTGTAATAGAACCTTTAAACCCTGTTTCCCTTCAATAAGCTTTATGTCTGAGTTTCAGCAGCTTTGAGTCCAACTGCCTGGCTCCGTCTCCCAGTTTTAGATGGTCTCAGTTCTTTGTTTAATGTCATGCTTTTGTTGTTCTGCTCTTTAACATTGGAGAAGCTTGTTCTGCGTGCTGAGAAGGACGAGCCCTGAGATGTGCTTGAGACATGCAAATGTTATGTTATAAAAAAAGGTTTTAATTTATGTACGGTTGTTGAGATATGCACTTTAATTTATATTTTGTTCATGTTGTTCATGCTGTTGTTTCACTTTCAATGAGCTGAAGAAATAACTTTGTGTGTGAACAAAACTGAGTGTTGCTAAGTGAAACCTTCTGTTTTAGCACGAACACAAACATGTTCATTTAATGAAATAGCTGTAAATGAACACCCATGCTATTTTTTCATAAAAAAGAGACTTTGATATGTCATCGTATGTTGTCACCATAAAAGGAACTTCATATACGTTATGAGCGGTCCATTTCTTGCTCATGACCTTTCCTGCTACATTTTGGTGAAAGACAGTAATTGCATGGCTGTATTAGCTCGGACAAATAACACGCTGCCTTTTTTTTTACGTTGTTAGATAGAACCATAAAACCACAATTAGGACATGCTAATCTAAAATCCTCTAGTTAAGTGATGTGTTGTAAAGCTAATGCTAAAACAACAAAGACAGAAAAAAAATAAAGACAGTCTAAGCTCTAATGGAAAAAAGCTGAGTTTCAGGAAGTAGACCTGGCTAAGAGAGAGCTTTTCTCTTTAAACAATAAACACAACCCAAGCTTTCAATTCACTGCAGTTGAGCTTAAACAAGCATTGTTTTTGGCAGAGACAGAGCATCAGAGTATCTTCCAGACTCTGGGAACAACACAATTTAATGAAATTAGAGCATGAAAAAATTAATCTTTCAGTAGTGGGACAGTGGTGTGTGGAACAGTTCATGAAGTCTTTCATCGGGGTCTACAATAACTAATTACAGACATAAATGGACCACCATTAAAGCAGATGTTTACAGTCTGTGTGAACATCCTGTGCAAATGGCAAAGGCTCATCTCTTTGACCTCTGATATATTTACTTCCCTAAATAACGAAGACCATACTTTTAAGATGGAAGCGGTAATGCTTTGACACAAGGGAACACAATGATACACAACTATGTGTCTTTTTTTTTTTAACCTCGAACCAATACCTCACTGACTGTCAACTCGATGATAAACACCAGAAAGCACCTGCTTTGTAGCATCTGCTGTCACCCTCGGTTGAAAAGGACACAAAACAATCCCAGTCTGGAAATGCGCCAGAGCCAAATAGAGCTGATGCAGGAACTGATAAATGTCGTAGAACCTCTGATTCATCCACTCAGTGGGGGAGGAAATAGAAATGGCACGTAATCTGGAGGGAAGACGTGAAGCCGTAAGATGTGTAGGGACATTATTTTTCACAGCAGTGTGAAAAACTCCCTGTTTTAGGGAGACATGTATGACGCAAAACAAGCTTAGTGTAAAAATGGAGGAGCAAGGCCATTATTTACATTTAAACTGAAGGACTTTTATTTATACTCTCTCAATGATAAATATATAATATCAGTTTTCATTTTTACTATTGTTAATTAGTAAAATGGCTCAAAGAAAAATAAAATCCCAACAAAGTATGCACCATATTTAAAAGTAACCACACCTTAAGCTTGTTAGTGTGTCTCCAGAGTCAGGTGCCATCATGTTTCTAAGAGGTAGCTTGTGGCTAAAGCTAACACTTGTTGAAGAAAAAATGCTTATCCAAAATTAAACAAGGTAAAAGGGCAAAAATCCAGTTTATTCAACTAGTTAATCAGATACTTCAAGATTTGGACGCAGAAGCTGACGCTTCACTCAAAGTGTAATCATTTACTGAAGGGAGAGCAATCCTCAGCATTACGTGCAGCTGTGCTGTTAATATGAGCTCTGGACAATGTGTATCACCTCAGGTTTGACCCACCACATCCAACCCATTCAGCGCTTGCATCATTTATCTGTAGGAAGGTGTTTCTTAAAAAAATCTGCTGTGCCTGCTTTAAGTTTTTAACGTGCCTTTTTTCAATGCATCAGGATAAGCCAGGACAAAGCAGCCATTGCTGCAGGGCATTAAAAAAAATCTGCGCCTCATTAGATGGAAGTAAAGTATTACATTTCTCCCTCGAGGCTTGAAAGTGACTGCAGAGATCTGACAACTATTTAATCAACGGAACACACTTCAAGACTCGCTCCGGCAAACAAAATAACATAAAACAAACCAGTGGACACACTTTATTTTTCTTTGCTGTGATGAAGTTAGATGCGTTTTTTCTATCTTTTTAAGTAAGAACCTGATTACATTTTTAGTGCACTGTTCCCAGCTGAGAGTTCAGTCCTGCAGGATACAGCAGGGAGAGCAGCTCCCTGGCTGGAATCGTTCCTTCTGAGGTTAATAATTATCAAATATAATGTATATAACTTATTCTAAAAAGTATTTCGGCAAGTTCCAATGTCATAGGCCCCTAATTGGTAGCATTGATTGTCACTTTCGCATGACACACAAGCAAATAGGATGCGATCAGAATCAGAAATAATAGATGTTCACCATGTGACCCATTAAACATCCAAACTATCAAATGAACACTTTTCATTATTCCAAAATGTATTGTGTATATGAATGAAGGCACTGTAGCCATAAGTGTTATACTAACTCATCTGATAAAATGTTTTTTCTGAGAAGTGCACTGCCCATGCACAGTAGGAAAGAATTTCCAATCACAATGAAAAGTGTTAGAACATCTGGTTTCTGTGCTGATGTGTGCATGTGTCATTATCATGCATGTGTGTTTAAGATTGAAGAATTTTCCACCATATTTTATTTTTCCAGTTTTAGGGATCATCCTCTCAGTTATGTCCCGAAATGTACAACTCATGCCATTCACAGACCACCCATGGAAATCTGTTACTTGTGCAAACAACATGTCCCAGAGGAGGTCGGCTACAAGGGGTGAGATGAAACACTATTAGTGACACATGTCACGTAACTCTTCTCAAGTATTAATAATTTACTGCTTAAAGTACTTATAAACGTAGCTTTATAATAAGTGAAACATTTAAAGCATGTGGTTTTGCGTTGTCAGCTGAGGTTAAAATGTCAGAACTAGCAAGATGCTGATCAAGCTACATTTTGAAAAATCACTCAGACAATACAAAAATAATTGTGCTGACCCAATTTTTTGACGTCATAAGGATGTCTGTGTCATGCAGCCAGTTCGAACCCCTTAAGGTTCTCCTCAGAGACGTGGGGCACATTTTTGAGAAACTTCACAGCATTAAGAAAGATTTTAAGATTTTTTTATTTATTGTGAATGTATGAATATGTAATGTGTACATGTCTATTTAATTTTTCTAATATCCTTAAAACAAATATTTAAAACTCTTATAATACACCACAAAAACTAATTTACAGATAGTCTACTAGTTCATTCTTTAGTTGCGTCATTGGATTCTGGTTTCAGCGCAGAACGTTATGGTGAAGCGTTTCAGCACTATTCTCAGGTCCAGATGGGGGTGTTCCAACAGACGGTCACATGTGCTCATACTGGAAGCCAGCTGTGTTTTCCAGCTTGTGCTACGGCCGCTGCCAAAGCTATCATCACCAGCTACGGTGCCTCCGTTGGTTATTCTTGGCCCACATAAAATGTTGTTGTTTTTTTTTTATTTCTTTTATAGGTATGTGGTTCTCCATTTTTTAAAGCAATTATTTGTAATTAGCTTTTGCACTGTGGGGACAGTGTCCCTCAGCAAACCCCTGCATCATTAATCATTTATTTCAGAACACATTAAGCTGACTGCAGAGCTTTACCAGACACCCGCTGCTGAACTGACACTCTGTGCAGGAATCACATTACTGACTCTCTGTTTGAGAATTAAATTAAACTATGCTGTGCACTGAAACTGAGCTGTTGGCTAAAATCTATAAACAGTTAATCCTTTTTTGCTTTTTTAAATTTTAGCACCCCAAACTGAAAACATTTCCTCTGTGTGACCGGTTTCAAGTAGTCAAATGCTCAGGTCTCAACAGCAAATGTGAGTATGATGAAGAAAAAGTGGTGCATGTAAGTGTATGTGACCCCCAAAATGATATTTGATGATGTCCTCAGAAAATCTAAAATTTGAGTATATGAACGCAGTCAAAGCATCAGGTTAGTACGTATTAGTGGATACGCACCTGTTTTAAGGGCTGAAGGAGCTCCCCAATAAAGCTGAGTCCTGAATGACCTCCTTTGGCAAGCATAGTGCTACCCGTCCCAATGACTCTGTTCTCTCAACAAAGCACGGTATTGGCAGCATCATGCTGTTAATTAGCAGTTCCAGTAAAGTGGTCAGCTTTGGAGAAATTATGGTTGAAACCTGTATTAGCGTTCCAAAACATTTAGACTGTCTTAGCACCAGTAGGAGAATGATTGCATACTGTGAAAAACAAACACACAGGTTGTTTTAGGAAATTAATCTCTCGTTGAAAGCCGACACCTCAAACGGAGAATCTGTGACATGTCCTATGGACTGCTTTACACCAGAGGAACAACTTTACCTTGAAGGACTTTGAAAAGTTTTGCTTTGAAAAATGGGCCGAATCGCAGTGGTTAGTTCAAGTCCATGAACTTGTCAAGTTCATGGAGACATACCAGAGAAGACTTTCAGCTGTGGCTACTACAAAGGGTGGCTCTAAAAAGTACTGACTTTGGAATGGGTGAGTACATTTGGATACACTAATTTTCTTTATTGTTTTTTATTTTTTTATTTCTCCAGTTTGGACTATTTTCGTTGACATAAATGTCCTCAAGAAATCCATTTATGTTCCAGGTTTTGAAAAAAAAAGTAAAACTGTCATTAGGGGTGACTAGATTTGCAAGCCACTCTGTTCTTAGAGCTACTGTATACGGCTTTTTATTTGTGTTGAATATTTTTTGGCATCCTGTAATTCATTCAAACAATCTGCCACTGCTCATTTGACATGACAGCTGCAGTTGTTGCTGCAACATGACTTTATATTTTCTTGCTCCCTGTTTAGGTACTGCCTGTGCCCTGCTAGTTTCTGAGCTCATAGCATGCATGGGAACCTCTGCTGAAAGGTACAGACCTCTGACAGAGGATGATTGAACACAGAGGTCATTAATGCTACCAAGATAAACCCAGATGAACAGTCATAAATCTGCTCATTTATGGCACTCTGCAATGGTTTATGAAATCATTGACTTCAAAAGGGCAAAAAAATCTGAGAATATGAAACTTCTCTGTATCCACAAAACAAATGTCTCCAAAGCATTGACAATTACGCTTGAGATTAATCATAATAAAGGAGTATTGCATGTATATTTGCTGGCTTCTATTAGTGTGTGTTTAAAGTTTAAAGAGGTATTGCCAGTAAAGCTCAGGTTCCACCCTGT